AGACAACAACTCATTTGGGGTATGCAAGAGCCAGCACAATGCCTATAAAGCTCCAATAAATCCAAGCTCTAATTTGCTTCTTTGTTTATATTATATATTATTTTATATTGTTAAATAAAAAATAAAAAACAGAACCCTTCAAGCTTAAGTTGTACTAAATAAACACAAATATTTATTCCCTTAAAACAACTTTTACTATGTAGCTTTGGTTCTTTTCAACACTCATTTTACATTTATGTTTAAAAGGTCACTTGCAACCATTACAAATATTCTTCTTTTTGAAACAATAGAAAAGAAACAACTTAAAATAATAAGAAAAGAAAAGAAAGGAGACAAGAGATATATTTACAATCTCTCTTTTATGCTTGTTCGGATAAGTAGAAAGGAAATGGAGAGAAAAATGTCTAATTGAGGGTAACTTTGGCATATTCAATTGAGCTCATTCCTTCTATTTAACCATATATTTTACTTGCTACCTGTTGCTTTCTCACTAAACATTTGAGCTCTTTTTTACTGTTTGCTATCTTCACTACTCCTGCAACTCATAAGAGCGAGAGAGAGATACAAGTGAGTCAGTGAGACAGAGAAAAGGAGGGGAGCTGTTTCATTCTTGATGGGTAATTACAGGTTCAGATTGTCAGATATGATACCAAATGCCTGGTTTTACAAGCTCAAAGACATGAGCAGAACCAAAAACCACAACCAAACCTCTCATCATCATCATCATCACTCTACCAAGAAAAAACCAACCTCAACTTCCACACCACCCCAACAAAAACCCCACCTTTCTCAAACCAGAAGATACTCCTACTACTTCACAACAGAACCCAACAGAGCTGACAAGTTCTATAATTCACCTGTGAACCCCAAAGCCTCAGACACACATTTTCCTGAACACCCCAGAAGATTATCAACCAGAAGAGCCAAAAGAAAAGCTGTTTACAAGCCTTCTCCTAACAAGCATGTCTCAACAACATCCTCTGTCTCATCACCAGCCTATTGTAATTGTCATGCCACAATTGATTCAGTTTGGACTGATCTTGAGACCAACACAATTCAATCCCCAGATTACTTTGGCTCTTCTAGTCAAAGTTCCAGTGAGCCTGAATATCATGAATTGATCCCATCTGAATATGAATGTCACCAATTTGGTGGTCCTGACCCATTGGATGGGCTAGCCCCATGGTCCAGCTCTTACAATTGCAGAGTTAGTTCTTCAACTTCTGATACCATCATTGACATGAAAGATGGAGCCTCTACAAAGAAAATTCATGATGAGAAGCTTGATGGCTTTGACATGATCTCAGAGCTAGAGCTTCCTCCAATTTTGACAAAGCCAATGAAATTTGATGATTATCATAAGTCCACTGAGGCAACCAAGTTCAAAAGAAGTTCATCTAAATTGAAGGAGATAAAAGGGCAGAGGTCTCTCACTGTCAAGATTGTCAAGGAGGAAAGCATAAGAACACAAAAGGGTAGCCAAAGAAAAGCCAACCGGAATTCAGTTCGAAAGTCCTCTGCCAACTCAACAACAGGTATAAGACTTAGAGGCAATTCTCCAAGACTTAAAAGTAAGAAAACTCAGCCATGTGCTAGAAAGAGTGTGTCATCACCACCACCGTCCTCATGCTTGAAGTCGAAGAATAGACGCCTTTCGGAGAGCTTTGCAGTTGTTAAGTCCTCAGTTGATCCGCAGAAAGACTTCAGAGACTCAATGGTGGAGATGATTGTGGAGAACAACATCAGGGCATCTAAGGATTTGGAAGACCTTCTTGCTTGTTATCTCTCACTCAACTCAAACGAATATCATGATCTCATTGTCAAGGCCTTTGAGCAAATCTGGTTTGATATGGCTGACATCAAAATGTAACATTCTTAGATTGTTAAATGTCAATGCAGATATAAATTTTTTTAAGTTATGATGATCACTTTATTTTCAGTTCTGAATTCTGGGTTTCCAAGAAACTATCTTTCTATCTCTAAAAATGGCTGCATGTCTCATTTTTTATTGATTTTCAGTCAGGAAAAATAATCAACTTGCATGTTTTATCTAATTTTCTTTATCACAACATTACAAATTTTAGACTATCAATTTAATTGTTTCATTGAATTCTGTGTTTTTTACATTGTAAAAGTTTAATGTGGCCTTCATGGAAAATGGCATGGGGTAACAAACACAATGTGCTTTACCATGTCAGAAAAGCATACATACATATATTCCTGTTTGAGGCTTCTGGCTTGGTTCTTGTCTGGATAATTTTGAGAAAATATTATTGTTCTTCTCCCATGTTTGTTTCTGGAAACAAGCCCAACTAGTTAGTTCCAGAGATGAATTATAGTACTGTACACTGTACACCAAAAGAGAATCTGTTCCTGCAGAAGGATACAGAAGCCAAATCCATAAGCTTTGAAGTTAATTTGGAAAAAATTAATATTCTTTGCCATGATAATTTGTGTTCAAAACGAGCACGCACAGAAAACATATACTATATTAGAACAAATTTGACCAGTCACCAGAGAATTGTTTCTTTGTTACAAATAATAGTTGAGAAGAAGAGAATTTGAACTAAAGACGTCTTCTTTATTACTAATTTGGGACTATTTCCCAACCACAACTCGACAATTGTTGACCATAATAGAAGTGAAAGTTGCGTGTGGTGAATAACTTCTGGTTAGGCCCATCAAGTTAAAGGCATCACCTCTAACTACCCCATGACTTGGTTCTAGGTTGAAATTGAATAACCCATGAGAATGTACTTACCTCAAAAAATAATTGTAACATTTTATATATATAGCTGGAATCATTGTAACATTTATATATATATAGCTGGAGCCGAGAGTGAGATAAAAGGTACATATAAGCCTAAGACCTTTTTGGGTTTACTAGCCAGCATCTCCTTCCCCTTATATGAACGAAGGTAAAGGGTGACTTCAAAAACTCAATTAATGTGTTAGCTTGCCACTAGCTCCAAAAGCTTATGCTCGGTTTTACTTGCATGCGCCCATCCCTGCACTTAGTGAGCAGAAAAATGGAGGGAGAGAGGCAAGTGTATAGGTACAAGATAGGCGGACACCTTGAAAATAAAGAAAATGTAGGGCATAGGGGTGCAAAGAAGGGATTCGATACTATATTAGACAACCATTAATTTAGCTGTTAAGGAATGGACCAATAATGTACGTCAAGGTTGCTACATTTATACGAACGGTTTCAATTAATAGTTTAGATTAACGGTATAGCATGCATAATAATGTACTTACTATGTGATGCTTTAAAGAGCTTTTTGTCACATGGCTCCATCCATCCATATGGAGATACCATTAGTTACGGCTCATTAAGTTGCAATTGTGTTGCCAGCTCTCTACGGTCTATGGAGGCTTTGATGAAAATGGCGTAAGGATTCATTTTTAAGCCAACTCGACTGGCTAGGGTTTAGAGTCTTGTACCAAAATTGTGTGCACCCTAAGTTGATATAAATCCTACCTACCTAACTTGACTAGTTTTGGGCTCTACTGTACTGTTTTCTTGATGGCAGGCAGAGGACCATAGACTTTGCCCTAAAATCTTACAAATCTCATTCCTTCATGGTAGAGAGAATACGGCTTTTGATTTCGAGGTGTACGACCAACTTTTGGTAATTACAGGACCACCAATGTTTCACCCTTGAAATAAATATCTTCCTGGTCAGCAATAATATCGTAGTAGCTCGCAAACCAAATGGCAAAAGATTAAGGTGAACTTCTAGGATGGTCCTGGTTACCTTTCAAGTTTACTTTTACTGCTTGCAAAACCTCTAACTTACCATGAGAGAGAGAGAGAGAGAGAGAGATTAAAGGAGGACCACATTTGATGAAAGAAATCCAATCAGGACGACATCGAAAATTGAGGAAAGAAATCTAATTAAAGGACAGTCATAATCTTCTCTGGGAATGCATCCCATGATTACTTTCAATCCTCAAACATTTAGTAGTAAGTAACTAATTGTTAGAAAGAAAACAGCCCGGCTTACAAATAGTGAAAATATCATAAGAGAGGAGTAGTTATACGGAATCGAACCCTAAATCATTATCTGGTAGTGCTTTAATATATAATCACTTACATTACTCTCTAAGCGTATCTCCTATTACCAACTAGCTCATTGTGACACTTCTCTTTCCACCGATGAAAAATATCCCAAGTTTCCCCCTCCTCCAATGATTAAAAAGAACATGGTATGTTTTAAGAAAACTCTCACCGGTAAGTTTACATACTTGATTAAAGAATCTTACAATTACAGCATGCTGCTTCATATTATGCAACATCAGTGATTTTGCTTCCAATCCTCTCATCATAACGACTCATTACCAACTCCAAATCTGTGTCCATAATTACAGTGTCATCAACACTTAAACATGTAGATGAGGGCTAATTTAATTTACCAGTGCTTTAAAAATGCAAGGCCTTATTTTCCATGTGATCATCATCAAAATACATGAAAAGTGGTGAAGATTTGGGGAAGCCATGGAGTTGAACTAACATGGTCAACTCTCACTCACCAAACCCACAAGAAAGTGTGCATCCCAGGATTCCCGGCTGAAGGACTATTTGGATCTTGCATACATTAACAAGACAATAGCTTTCCCATATCCAAAATTGGAAAACACATACATCAATGAATTTTGCCTCAAGCAGCAACCTTTCTAAACCCACCCTCAATAATTCAGCATTATAGAAACATGTCTTTTGTGTAAGTTTCCATCAAAAAACAACCCCATACTTGTACACATCAGTGTTTGTGTTTCCTATGAAACATTGCAGTCAGGGACTGCTCATGCCTACAAGTGAAGGCAAATGCATCTATCTTGTCTCAAAATGCTCATATACAATTACAAAGCTCATTCATATGTCATTGGATTCTCACTTTTTGATCATCTCATAATGCAAACGGCAGTTTTATTGACACTGCAGAGCCTGCTAGCTGTAAAGGGTAGCAGTGAGTCCTTTTGTTTTATGGCAAGCACTGAAAGAGAAGGGCATCAACACATTGATAAACTAGCCATTTATTCTGACAGAGTAATATTATTTAGACATAATTACAAACATTTGCACAGAAATTTTTACAGTATAGAAGTCATCAGATTCTTGTAGTGGTCGACATGGATCCCCCTCATTCGGCTCCATTAGTACAAGCAGTCCTTGCTTTTGAGCTTCAAAACTGCCCCTGCCATTTCAGGAGGCAATCAGGCCAGTAAGTTGTCATTTCTTGCATCTCCAGATTGGGACCGAAACTCCCATTCCTCTCACCGACTTTACAATTGTTGAGAAATGTAAATTTTCTGAGGTCTCTCACTTCTTTTCATTCTTGTACAACAGAAAGTACCTAATGGCTTTTTACAATTTTTTTGAAACCTCACAAGGTGCTTGAAACCCGATATTTTCCACGGCTCCCACGGTCTTAAACAAGCGCCTCCTATTCACCTCTTCGACCAAAGACCGGTGTAGTAGGTGACTTCTTACGTCTACTAGCGACTTATTCCTCATCAATCTACGGCTATCCACGATCCTTTTATCTTTTGAACCAGATGCTAGAAAAGCTTTGCATCTCTCGTAGTATTTTTTAGCCATAGAATGCCCAGTATTACGGTTTTCTTCAGGACAAAACCTTGTGGACTTGTGACATTTTGATATGGGATGTTTGTCTCCTCCTGTGGGAATCGTATTAGTCCCATGCTCATTCCCACAAATGAAATTTAAGTTGGAATATGTTCCTGAGTGTGAAGAGCTTTGAGAGCTGGTCTCATCAAGGAAATCATCTGCAGCAGCAATCATTTGCAATTGAAATTTAAGCATGCAGAACAATGTTAGAAATGCATCATATATGCATGCAGATCATCAGGAAGAGTGGTCAACAGGGCCGCATGCTACACACCCATCCCAATGTTCAAGTAACTTGGTCCATGGGCCACTTTCGAGGCCTAAAGTTGACTTTACTCAGGGTTTGGACATATGAACCCAAAACCAGCCTCAGCTGGAAAGGCATACATGCATGCTTGCTATATGTTATTACAAACGAACTGTCTTGATACTATTTTAAAATTTATAAATAAATAAATAAAAATTAGCAAAGGTGGGTCAGGGCATTGGGTATGAGCTCATAGTTAACAATTCTCATGTGATTCAAGGTTCTAGTTAGATTAAAGTTTCTTGACATATTTCTAGAGACTTGGGTTTAAACTCTTTCTTAACCAAGGATGAGTAATAAGCAATGGAACAGGGTTACAACTTACAACTTACAACTAGCCCAATTGATCTCTAATGGATTTCAAAAAATAATAGGGGATAGTCACAGACATTGCAAATTAACTTAGTGAATTATATGAGCCATACCTTGGAGCCAATCACAGCCATTTGTCACTCCGTTAATCCCATGAGAGCTGATCAAGCCTGATAATGATGTGTGGGATGATGAGCAGGAGGAGTGAGAGTGAGGACGTTGAGGTCCATCATCATCATCTTGATAATTAATTGTGTGGTAGGCTTCAGTTTTCCAATTTGGTACCAGAGCAGATATCTCCCCTTCAATCATATTCGCAATTTCAAATGGCTCCCAATCAGTGATCTCCAATTCCTTCACCATTTCCGTAGCAACATCAAATGGTGTATCATTTAATATGTCAAAAGGAAAATATATGTTCCTAAGAGAACCTGCATGATAAAACAGTAGAAGAATCTTTCACCGTTTGAATCTATTGAGTTCACTTTAACTACAACAGCCAGAGAAAGTTAAATAGTACCATCTTTATCAGCAATCTGAACTTTGAGAAAGATGGTGTCATCTTCAGGATTTAACTTCCCCGTGATTGTCATGTCAGTCCTGGTTTGATCATCACTCAATTGCAGTTTCTCCATTTCCTTGTCATTTAAAAATGGCTTTGGACGTCCAAGCTTTCCCAAAGGCAATGGTTCATTTTTACCACACTCAAGAAATGGATCAAGCAAAAGTTCTTTTGCCGATAATCTCTTTGAAGCATTTACTAAGCATTTTCCAATGAATCGTTGTGCTTCCAAGTCTTGAATCCGGTAGAATGCTCCTGGAAGCTTCCCCTGAAGAATTATAATAGCAGGGGGTAAGGTTCTTGTTCACTGATATCTATTAATCTTGACATCGAAACTTCACCTTACCGAGGTAACTTTCTTGTATATTTGTGCAGGGTTGACACACTCACTATATGGGTATTCAGATGTAAGCATCTCCAAGACACACATGCCGAATGAGTAGACATCAACTAGTTCATTGTAATTTTCGTCATACAGTTCTGGTGCCATGAACTCTGGAGTGCCTAAAAGTATAAGGACAAAAATACTTTTAGTGGAGGAAATAAGTGCCAGCATTTATGTGCTAATAATGGATAAACAAGTACCTATAACACTGTGAGCAGATTGGGAACCACGGAGGATTGCTGCAAGCCCTAAATCACCAATTTTGACTTGCCCAAGATGCCCATTGACAAAGATGTTGTCACACTTAAGATCTCTATGAATTACTGGAGGATCATTGCCATGCAGATATACAAGACCGCGAAGGATCTGACGGGCCCAGTTCTTAATGGCTCGGATGTCTACATGCTTATATTTCTTCCTATACCTGCAATATGAAAGATATTGTAGTTTATCAATACATTTACCCAAAGTGAATTGAATTAGGAACCCTGCATCATGCTTAAGAATTGATATCCATGATAACAGTTCCCACTTAATGCATGTACAAGGTTCTGCTGATCACATTGTCCTCATTAACCAAAATTGTAAGATTACTTTCGAGGGGCAGAGGCTACAATTACAGTCTATTGCTACACTTTCTCCATTTGTCTATGCTTTACCTAGTTCAAAAGATATGCAAGTTAAGGGGCTAGAGGAGTTGGAAAGGAAATTACTCTCTTAGAGTCCCCGAAGTGAACATTTCAGTAATGAAGTTAAAAGTTTTGTGATCAACATCGATCCAGGAGGTATAGAACCGAATTATGGAATCGTGATTGAGGGTGCTGAGGAGGTGAACCTCTGAGTAGAGCCGTTGCAAATCCTCTGGTGAGCGAAGGACTTCATTGAGTTTCACCTGATTCCATGCCACTTCCATCCCAAGAAGCTCATCAATTGCCTTGTACACTGTTTTCATTGCTCCTTTGCCAAGAACTTCTTCAAACTGTTCAAGACAAGGAAAATGCACCTCAATAAGTAACCAAATCTTTTATTTCTTTTTATTTGTTTGATTACACAAAGCAGAACAAATTAATTGACTCTAAACAATCAACTAAGGTGGTAACAAGATTCTTGATCATTCAGCATTAAAGTTCTCTGTAATAGTATTATTAGGGTGTTCCTTCATAAATTATATAGCTAGCCTCAACCATAACTTTACGATCATAGAAAACAACTGAATAAAATTGCGGTAGTGAAAATGAACTTTACAATCATACAGCACAATTAGAAATAGCTTATTGCTAGGTGCTTACATAAGCCAAGAAAGCCTTTTGCTTTTACTACTAACCTAATGAGGCACCACATTAAACGATCAACTCTATTCTCCAATTTTCTCAACTCCCAACAGGCACCATCAATCGAAGTCCAAAGGGCTCAAAGCAAATGGAACAAATATTATAAAGAGAAGAAATGGCATATTGTATCAAATTAACAATCTTTTTTTAACACCATTTGTCACCAAAACTAATGGCCAATGGTTATATATAAAGGCCACAGGGATCTCCCAGATGACACCTACTGATGCATAAATAAAATACTTGATGGTGAATTAGACAGTGACTTACCCAATACACGAGATTGACCAAATAAACTATTTCATCCTTTAAAACTGTCTATAAGTTAACCACACACTTAATTGTTAATTATACTAATATATAAGTACATAGAATTACACATGCATACATGAACAGAATTTTGATCAGCTACTCATGGTGTGAGCAAGAAATCCATTGGATTAAACTCCAACATCTGATATTCAAATCCTAACCAGGACAGAGTCTAATCCCTGCTTCCAAAGTGTAAGATCATTTCCATGGTTTCAGCTAGCATTCAAAACCCATTTATTTAAACAACTCAACTTAAAGAAAGAAACAAAATCATCAACTTCGGTCAATAAAGAACTATAGCATCATCATTAATTTATGAAAAAGCATAAGCAACTTGTACACATTAAGAAACAACAGCACAAAGAAAACAAATTAATGGTAAAGACTGAATGAATGGATGAATGGTAGTAACATGCATGCACATACCCGGCCATAGCGAGCAGTAGGATCAGTTTCAACATAACCAGCCCTGTCAGTCTTGGACATGTTTGAGTGAGGCTTTCAAGCTTCAACTAATGAAGGCCCAAAAGACTTCAAGATCAAACCTTTTTTTTGCCTTTTTTTTGTTTTTGTTTTTGCTTGTTGTTGCTTAAGAACTATGATGAACAAAGCAGAAAGTGATGGAACAAAGCAGAAGATTGTTGGGAAGAAAACTAAAGGGTAGCTAGAAATATAATCAAAGGTGGGAAAATTAAGTGAAAGTTGGAAACTTGAAAATCAAATCCGAGGCTTTCCCTCGTGGTTTTCATAGGAGAAGACACCAAACAAGAGCCAGAAGAGCCGTGAGTAGTCAATCCTCAGCATAATCCAACCCATTCCCACAACCACAGCGCGTGACACCCCCTCGTACTTGTTAGCAACCATTTGGTTTGGCTTCCTTTAAAATATATGTTGAAATTTCAGAGGCAAATAGAGTGAGAGAATTGAAAGAGAGAAAATATTTTGGAAGGAATAATAATTGGTGGGGTGGAGGCAGGGACAGTTTGGGAAATTCAAAGTTGAGAGGAATTTGATGGGGTACGAAACTTGAAGAATCTGTGGCTACACTTTGTTGGTACCATTTGTTTGTGGGAAAGGAGGAGGAAATCCAAATCCCAAAAGGAAGTTTGCCTGCTGCGCTTGTGGTTGTAGGCAAACAAAATTGAGCTTTCAGGTGGAAGAAAGATGATGGTGAGAAGAACAAAACTCCACAATAAATAGAGAGAGAAAGAAGCAAAACACAACTACACCAGTTAGTACTAGACTGAACAGCAACCGATGTAACAGTGGTCCCTACTTCACACAGCTTAGGCCGTGTGTAGGGGTGGGTTTTGCTATTGCGTCAAATACTTTGGCTTTTTGCTCTTTGGGGGCTTAATATAGGTTTCCACTTTGGCTTACATGAATGACGTACCATCATTAAACAGTTGACTAGGCTTATCCAACATCAGAGGAAGGGAAATTTGAACTTGGAACCTTTTCTTATATCGAAAGTTCTTCTATACACTCGGAAGGTAAATACTTTTTTACACGTACTCAAAAATGCATTCATGTATTTCATTTTAATTAACTATGAACATACTTTGATTAGCTAATAATCAAGTGTTTTAGTGACATCTCCTAAATAACAATTAAGATTTTTATAGGAAAAAAAAAAATTGGTCAATTTTGATACATAAAATTTTGTTGATGCGTATTGAATAATGGGCTTGACTTTAGATGGATTTGTGGACCTCTCCCAAGTATTTAGTAGTAGTGGGTTGACAAATCAATCATCCTCTCAAATGATCTTTTCATGCACTTCTTCATTGGGGGTCCCTCCACTCCACTTATTTTATTCTTATCCTCTCTTTGTTATTGATTTCTTCTTCTTCTTTATATTAATATTTGGCTACCTTTATATAAAAGGCTTTTATTCAGCACATCTAAGGATGAATGACCTCTAAAAAAAATCATTGCCTCTGTCTGTCTCAGATGGATTCATTAAGCTGCTTCAAAGCCTGTGAAGATTTATTTTTATCCCATAAAGAAAATAAAAGTTTATTTGGTTGACCAAACCAGCCATGCATTTATACATACGTGCCAACCTCCCTCTGTTTGATTTGCTTTGGATTACAACAGAAGAGACTTGTGTATTGATAGAACTATAATTAACAAGATAAAATCTGAAAACCCTAGCTAGTAAGTGCGCATTAAGCTCAGCATTAAAACAAATAATTCATAATTATGTGGTTTATAATGCAAGGTCAGTACACCTAATGGGTAAATTTTGAAATGAAATTTAAATATAAAAAAAAACACGTGAATATCATTTTGGAGCTATTTGCTTTTGTTTGTGCCGAATCTAATCATATAGTAAAATAATTACAATAAAATAAGTTATGTTCATAGTCATCCAACTCAACAAGTTGCAATGTACATGCACTACGAATAACAAAATAGTCAACTCAGTGATTGTTTCGAATATGCAACTAGTGCAGATACATATCATACATAGTTAACTTATAGCTTAGAAGGTTAATTAGGCAACTTTGCCGATTAATTTGACAGAAATTCAATTTTTTACGCGTGTAAACAACACAAAGTAAAATTAGGATAACAAAAATACCGAAGATCTTATTTTGATTACTTGACAAATACTTTTGTGATTTATATAATACGTGATCAATGACGATAGATCAATATGGATAAATTCTTGATAGTTTCATTTAAAGTGATTTATATACTTTAGAGTGATGTAAAGGTGGAAGACAAATGAAATGAATTTAGACATTTTACTGAATTTGAAGTTCAACTGTGAGCAAAAATGTTGCTTTGAAATCCAAAGCAATAATTAGGTATTCTTCTTAGAGTACTTCCCCCTATTTGCCATGGCAAAAGGCAAGGGCTATTACTATTCATATGAATAGTGGCAACCCTCGTAAAAAGCTTGTTGTGTTTCCACCCATTGTCATGGCAAACTATTCACTTTAATTTTTTTTTTTTACAGAAAAAATTCAAGTTTTAAAATGTTGGTAGGTATTTATAGAAAAAAAAATTTGATTTGTTTTCAAATTTTTTTACACACAAATTGGTAGCCGTTGGATTGGAGGAAAAATTTTGATCGGAAACACCAGGACGCGACACGTGGCTTGTAGCCTTTGGCGGAAAGTAGGGTTGACACCAGCGCATGCGAGTTTCAAACACACGCCAACGATTAAAAAAGTTGGAATCCCATGCGCTAACGTCAGCCTGGCGTCATCGCTAACGTCAGCCTGGCGTCATCGCTAACATCATCACCCTCGGGCACGAGCTTGGGCTCATTTTGTCTTTGGGCTTGCTCGGGTTGGTGGTCCCCACCATTTGCCCTTGCTGTAGAAGCCCACTGAAACTGCGCTTGGGGCCTCATGCCCCCTCTGCCTGGGCCAGCCTTTAGCATTGGAAATGCTCTTAGTGCCTCCCCAATTACGACTAATTTTGTTTCTTTCCAATTTTCACAATTTTGTCATAATCTGAGTGGTTGAGCATCTCTAGCAAACTCCTTATCCTCTCATCCTTAGCTACTTTGGTTAAAAAGAAGGAAAATCCTCCTTCCAACAGGCTCCCTACTTGGCTCTCTATTTTGGAGAACCAACTTTTGACTCTCTACATCTAGCAAGGAGGAGAGAGAAATGGAGGCTCGCCAAATTGAAGAAAAAGAAAAAAAGAGAGAAAAGGGGGAGAGAGATAGAGACATTTGGGAGGTTGGTGGGGTTGGATTTCTACTTTTCTTTTTAATATATTTGATTTGCAAGAGAAAAAGAAAGAGAAAGAGAAAATAATAATAAAATATTTCAAATTAGCCAAAATAAATAACATTACTAGAGGAAACACTTTTTAAGTGGTTTGTTATTTTAACTAAAATTTAAAGACTCTCCTGGATATGCTCTAAGGTGACAATCGGTACCGATATTTATATGATAATGCATATATTTCTATTTTGTCACATTAAGCTTCAATCTCCACGTGGTCTGGTTGGTGGCAGACGTGTGGTTGGAGTATGGAGTGGACAAACTATTATAATAATAAAAACTAATTATAAAACGTACTTACTCATTTAATTTATTAAAAAAATAAAAATCAGATGCAATGGAAAAAAGAAAATCAAATGCACCAGCCGGGAATCGAACCCGGGTCTGTACCGTGGCAGGGTACTATTCTACCACTAGACCACTGGTGCTTGTTGATGATTTGCCTTGTCAAGTTCCATCTTATATCTTTAACAAACCAACTGCCAGGGACACAAGTTATCGGTTTTGCCACTCTCTGGTCGGAACCAGCGTATTCACGTTCTTCAATCAGGTGTCTAAACACAGGAGACTTTTTTGTCTATCTTTCTCTCTCCTCACTCACATGACTTGCGGATTTACATCAATCTTGTTAATCGGGTGTCAATACGGGATAGAAACTCACCTGTCACGGGATCTATACCGGTTTGTGATAGCATAGGTAGGTTATTTCCCAGGCAGAGTTTCCTATATGGTTCACAGCCTGTGCCGCTGCTCAAGTTCAATAGACGGTACTCTATACCAAACGAAAATTTTATGATATCCAACATAACCTTCGACCCAAAAAATAGAAAAAGATTCTAACATAAACAAAATTTTCATTGTTACATCTATAGATTTCATCATGTGTACACTAACCAGTATCTAACCGAAAATATACCTAACAGAGGCTTCTCAGTACTGTGTTTATAACTCTCCAAACTTTGGGAGGGAATGCGAAATGAGGGGCAAACTTCACCCCATATATACATCATCCACCCAACCCAATCAAAGCACACAAATGTGCGTGTCGATTCGGAAAATGAAAAGCGAACCAGAATGTACAACATATGTATACTACATCAAACCAACAAACAACGCAGGACCCCAAGAAGAGTTGAAGTCGGGAAGATGTCTCATCAGAAGCTCAGTCTAGTGTGTTAGCATCTACAAGTATAAGTGTCTTCATTCTCCAACGCATAATCCTTCCTTCAAAGGCACTTGAGGGGTGAGGGGGGGAAAATCGTCATCATTTTTCAGATGGTATGACTGCTCTTCAATCCTAAAGACACAAAAAAGCAAGCGAGATTTAGCTTTACAATAAGAGCTATTCCTTAACCATGCCCATTTTCAATTGCCATTGTGCAGGAAAAATTTTAAATTACCAAATCCAAGTACCTCTCCTCATTGGCTCTGAATAACTCTGATTGACTGTCCACTTCTGGAATGTGTGATTCCCATGATGGAGGGGACAAGGATCTACACTCAGATTTCTCTGGCAAGTTGGACAAACCAATGTCATGGAAAGACTCCCAGATTGAAAGGTGATGTGGATGGTAATCTGTCTTTGCAGAGTTCCCACGACCTAAAACTGGGTACTCTGCTTCTGAGAGCTGGCGGTTGTATTCTCTCGGTGAGATTGACTCTTGAGGGGCTGCAGCAAAGCCATAACTAAAAGCGTGTCTCTGCAATGGAAAACACGTTCCCGGTGCCTGTTTCCTTCCCCTTCCAGGCAAGAACCTATCCTTATAGGGACGATAACTCTGAAAAGACTGTAAGCAGATAACCATGAGATTATGAAAACCATAATAACTGGGACTGTAGTCCTCTGCTGTGAATGACTCAATGTAAAAACAAAACTCCAAAAATATAAAGCCCATGAATATAAAGATTACAGGATTGCAGCCCCAAAAATTGATTCTATAGGAACCAGAAAAGCCACTACCGCATTGGGGATGTACGTCCCTGTCCCTCGTGGTTTCTTCTTCTCTCCTCTGAAAGCAGCAACAGATAAAGTGGAATCATTTGCATGGTACACATGTGCTCCCCAAGCAACGCCATTTATGTTAGTTTGAGAATTAATATTCTGGTGGAACTGAACGGCTTCAGTGGTAACTCCCCATGGATTCTCTTTCCATGGCTGAGGGGACAATGGAGGACTTGGCAATAAAGGAGGTGATGTAGCAGACCCAGGGAAATAGGGACCATATTGCAGGTTCAAGCAGTGATTGTCAAAATCTCCACCAAGCTCCAACAAAATGTTCAGAGATTCAAGACCTCCAGATAAGGCATCATTTTTATCATTAGTCTGACAGTTGCTTCCATGCCTATCTAAAGTGTTTGCAAAAAACTTGTTCAGCTCATCTGCTATTCTTTCTCCTGGTAACGAAAGAATCCAACCAAGCTTGCGAGCTCCAAATTTAAAAGCACTGCATATCCGATAGAAGCTACCTGTAGAAAACCCATCAATCATTATCCAGTGACAACACGTACACACTAGAAAGTAGAGAGCATATCTAGCTATTTGTTATGGTATTCCCCTAAAACTCCACAACAGCAAGAGAGAGAGAGAGAGAGAGAGAAGATGCGTACCTCTATTGACACTACGCCCAAGGTTGTTATTCTCTTTTAGTGGATCAATTATATTAAGATGCTTCAGGGGAAAAGATCGCAAGTTTGTCTCACACAACTTTGATGGAACAGAGAACATTTCCACACAATTTCTAATAAATTCTTCACTCAGCAGTAGATCATCTCCCCCATTTTTGGGAACCTCAGCTGCAGTGTAAGTGAGTGAGTAGGTGAGAGAGAGAGAGAGAGAACACAAAAACAAATAGAACCATTTAACATCACAAGGACACAAGTGTATCTCTTACCCACTATATCAGGCAGGGACGATTTGCATACTGGTCCATTTAAACTTATACAGTAGTTCTCCCAATCAAATTTGCTGAAGTAATCCAAAAATCTATAAAGGACCTATAAAAATGAAACACAATTAAATGCTTGAACTTATAGAACTCAAAGTTGATTTGTGCGAGGACTCACCGTTAAAGGGCCATCTAGAGAAGAATGAAAAATATGGAAAATATATAGGATTAATGTTTCCAAAGCATATGTTGAAATCAACCCATGATGAGCACCAAGAATACGACTCTCATAGTAGCACCAGGCTTTTATCAGAATAATGCTGCGTTTGAAAAGATGATCTTTGCCAATATAGTGATCGACCTGTGTAACAAGAAACATGAGAAATATGACCAAATGATCAAACTTGAATGAACTTTCATACCAGTAATAGCATACTTAAATTATTAGAACAAGAATGGAGTCATCTGACTCAGTTATACAGTACCAATCATACCTGTTCAAGAAAGCGCAGTGTACAAAGTCCTCCTAACTGGTTGAAGGATATATCTACTACTATATTTTGTACAATGCATTTCACAAGCTTAACCTGCAATCAAAACCCCAAACTTTAAAAAATTGAAAACATTTAGCAACACAACTACATTTGCGAACCGGCTTACAATATCTATTTTATTCTGCACTACAGGAAAGGTCACAGTAAGTCTGCAAAAAACTGGTCAGAACAAAAAACATCAATCTCAAAATTCTGCCAAATACACATTACCACGAAAAAAGAATCTGACATTCTAGGAAACAAGAAATCACGAATAACAAGAACAGAAACAAATAATAGTAGCATTGTATGGTGAAGCAAACAAAAAAAAAATTTGCCACATAATACCCACATGCAAGACTCCAACTCTAGTCCTACATGGAATTGAACATGTTTCCCAAAACAAAATTAAGGCATCGAGGTGGGAAGAACCTCGGCATCAATGCAATGGACATCCTTCACAAGACACTGAGCAGCTTCATTATTCTCCTCTCCCTTCAGGATAGCATGAACATCGGTTACAAAGCTTTCCTCAATGTTTGCACTGCTGAATGCCGTCAAATCAATATCTCCATCAGGAAGATATGTTTTTAATGGAACTGACCCATACGGAAAAACCTGTGAGATTAACAATACAAAATTTCAAACTTAACTTATAAGAAAGTCAATGAAATGGAGAAGCTCAGAAACAACATTGGTAATGTCACTGGCTCCTCGAATAAAATGAACTAGAAAACAATATTGCATCATAGTTTTCCACAAGTACCAACATTACATCACTAAATGGCAATCAATATGGGAAATACAACTTTTAAGTTAATATCTAAAAAAACCCACCAGTAATGCTCAAGACAATATGGTTCAGTTTAGCCATCAACAATGCAGACCTCTAAAAAAATTATGATCCAAATAGAAACCCAACTATTTGAGCAAAGTATTAATACTTTGAGCTCCTAAGAAAAAGTCAACTTCCACTTCTTGAAATCATTATGTTAGAAAACTAAGGCCAATCACATCATAAGTAACAGCTCGGTTACCATACATGAAATGGGGCATTTACCAGCTACACCCAAACAGCCATTAGAGCAAAAATGATACAAAAACCAACACTACCCAAGATTGAAAACTGGAAATGAAAGAAATGTAATTGGATAAAATTGTAATTACCTGACATCCAACGTTAGATGTGATGAGGCTCTGTACATATTGAATAACCTCCTTCCTCGCCTGGTGGGTCACCAGAGTGGGCTGAATCTTTGAGACTATGTCGCGGGTTGCGTCCTCGCCTCTGGCCCAAGAGTCAGGGCTGACGGCGGAGGGATCGGGATTGGAGGTCGGCAATGACGGGGATGGCGGCGAAGGGCAGGGTCGATCTTCACGAAAAACGTCACCGTTTGGCCGCGGCGAACAGACTTTAAGATGAGCCATGAAATTGAACAATGAAGACAAAATTGCAGGGGAGAGAGAAGAAAGAGAACAAGAAACGAAATTGAAGAGAAAGAACGGGGCAGGGAAGGAGAGGGAAAACGACGTCGTAAACGGAGTGATTAACGGAGGTGGAGAGAGAGAGAGGGTGTGTTTGGAAGGGAAGAACAGTTTCGTTTGTGCCTTGAGGAAAAACCTTTTAAAAACCCCCCAAACCCAAACGCAAAAGCGGCAAAAAGCCTCTCTCTTCTCCTGTTCTGTTTCGTTTTTTCTTTTTTTAAAATTCTGCCGCAAAGCGACGCGACGCAATGCAAGCGCAAGGCCGCGAGGGAAAACGCATTATTTTGCCGCGGCAACTCTACGCCAGACCGACACGGCAACACGCTGACGCAAAGAAACGTTCCTTCTCCTCTGTCCTCTACTTAAACGTCGTCGTTTTTGCTGGCTTTCTAAACCTTGGTGATCCTTATCCCCTAGGGATTTATGAGTTATCCATTTCCTATTGCTTTTATTTTTTCACTGCTGATTTTGGTAATATTTCCATTCTTCCTGACTATGATTTGACAAGATTGTATTCCTTTCACAACACCCACCATGGTGAATGACTCATTAGTATAGTGGTTTGGAATAATTGTTCTTCTAAAAAAGGTTATGGGTTCGAATCCTAACAACTGTATAGTGTGTGTGAATTTAGTATATTATCGATCATCTCAATATAAAATGTCGAAAAAAAACTATTTATGTCCGTGACAACCACCTAAAATGATATGACAATAGTAAAAAGGACTCCCAAATGGGCAAAAACGACTAACAAGTCTTATTTACCAAAAGAAAACAAGACACCAAAGGCAAGGCACAAACAAGAGGCAAGCAAGCAGTTTAGATAGACCACAATGAAAATAATGACATTATGTGTGGATTTGGAAGCAGCGCACACACTCCACATGGTTTCTTTGAATATTCAGCAGCTTTGGTTATCATGACTTTTGACCTTTTTTTAAAAGTTTTTCATCATCCGATTACAGACGCAACAACAACACATGCATGTTTGCTCTGGCTCTTTGTAAACCTGGCATCCAATTCCTACACCCACGGCCCACCTATTTTAAAAAAATAATAATAAAATAAAATTGCATCCTTCTCTCTTTCAACTATCAATTGCCAGCCATCCTTGTCCCATTTGACCACATACATTTGGTGCTTAGAATTAAATTGTATTCACTCATAAAATTCAAGTAAGAAATCAATGCAGAGTTAAAGGATTTATCATTTTGTGAGATTAGAAATTTAAATTATAAGATGTCGATATCCTCCGCATATTAAGGGAAGCGTCAAGCCAAACTAGGCGTTAGAAAAACGGAACTAGGTATTTGGCTTGCCTTCTTTACGGAATTTGAAGGACAAAGCAAAACCAGCTGAATTCAACGGCGCCCACCGAAAAATCTGCTGAAAATCATGTTAACGCGTCACATCTTCATTACATTAGCTCTAGCGGTAAACAATGCCAAAGCCACCTAAATTATGAAGTTCAAATGGGTAAGAACTGGGGAAAATGAGATCATCTGCTTTACATTTTAGTGCCAAACATTGTATCCAATTATTTGCACCCATCATAACAGAAAATTGAGGCAAGTAAAATAATATGCGGATCAAGGATCATCCCAACAACCAGGTCAAGTTCTTTGCTAAAAGCAATAGCTCAAACGAATAAAATTGATGTAAACTTGTAAGAATATCACTTCATACTACAGCCATTGGAAAATAAAAACTCAGGTTTTGAATAACCTGCTACCTTTTCCAATTACCTTAGCACAAGATGATACTATGACATTTAAGACTAAACTCAACAAGATACTACACACTAGTCATAATCAGAGTCAAACACGCGTTCAACAATAACATGGAAATAAGGCAAAGGCAGCAGCCAAAAGTAATAGCCTCAATGCACATCCTCAAAGCAATGGAGCAGCAGATGTGGTGGTGTCTTTTCATGGACGAGCAGCTGGCGCTCCAGCTGGGCGTGGAGCCTGACCAGGTGCACCAGGAGCTGCAGGCCTAGGTGTATCCTCCTGATATGCACAAAGAGACATAGAAACGTTAACTAAAACAACATGAAAGAGATGAATCATATACGCAAATAAAAACCTAGACTTGCGAACAGCTGAATACAAAAATCAAAAGCATATATTAGAAATTTATCAGGAGAAAATACTCTGCCAGTGAATATAGAGATAATACTATGATGGTAAATATAATCATGAACTAAGACGACAAATTCAAACCAAAATCATTTGCCATTCCAGCTCCTCAATGTCATTAACAAAGAAAGTACAACGATCACACAACCAAATAATGTGAAGCGCATCATGCCAAGTTTGAACATTTACCCAACTTCTTCATGATAAAAATAAGAACCAGGAAGAAAACGGCAAACTAAGTTTCACTCTAAGTGCTTAAAGCGTGCACCCAGATGACTAGCACAAAATTTCTAATGCTTGCAGATTTGATAACCACAATGCAAATGCATTTGAGTCTAAAATTAACTAACCAACCTTGCTCGCTATTTCCATAAAAAGATAAAACAGAGTCTTTGAGATTGGGTACATTTGAACCTCTAATTAAGAAATTCATCGTGGTATCAGGTATTTAGCTCCTACATTTATGAAGTTTGTACATATAGAGACTCATCCACTGAAAAATAATGTACAACGTTTCAATTCTAGACACCAAATTATGAAAAGATACAAGTATTGAACAAACAGAAATCATCGGATTTAAAGAAAGTGAACCTCACACTGAACCATAGACTAAAAGGCATAGAGGCAGAACCTAAAAGCAAATGACAGATATAAAATAAATGGCTGACGAAAATTAGAACATACCCGACGCCTGAAACGCTGTGGGGGTTCACGGTTCCTCCTGTTTTCCCGCGATCGAACCCTCACAACGTGAGAGTGGATGGCGCAAGAAACACAGTATTGCATCTTTGCATACAGCTTAGGAAGAGTGTAAGCTTCAAATAGCATTCCCAGTAAAACATTATCAGCACAATCATCAATATCAAAATGCAAAATTAAAACAAAAAACAAAATCAAATACGCAGATTACCCATTATGAAGAAAAAAATTAAAACATTAAACAGAAAAGGAGAAAAAAAATTACCATCATAAACACAAGCCTCCTGGACATCCCTAACTGCAGCTTGCTCAACAATGTTCCTCACCAGAAACCTCTTGATAGCTTTGTCCTTTTTCACACAAACCCAATACCAAATTTAGCCTAAAACTAATTAGAAAACCAAAACCCACTTGAAATTCCTAATAAACCTAGAAAATTCATATTGAACTTGGTTATTAAAGCTTTTACTTTCTAAATATTTAAACTCCATTGACAAACGAAAGGGTGAGTGAAAACACCTTAGGGCAGCATTTGCCACAGTTAGAGCAACGGATGAACTTCACATGGCCACGGCCATGCTTGTTTCTCCCGCCGTTTCTTCTCTTGAAAGTCTGCAAACAGAGACATATACAGTGAAAGAGAGATGAGGATGAAGATGAAGCAATGTGATATTAACATTGAGTTAAACTGAAATTTGGGGGAGCTAAGCTTTACCATGGTGACTGATTTCCAAGAACTGAACCCTAAGCCGTCTCGATCTGAGCTTTCTGCTGCTAATGCTTCGGCGGCCTTTCAGAGTTTCATATTTACAAGAGGACGATATATATGCGCTTTGCGCACTAGGGTTTTGCGGGGTCTTACAATCCAGTCGGGCCGGGTCCGCTAAAGTCCGTTTGTAGTCTTTTTCTTTTGCCTTTTTTTCACTGTCTAACATTTTTTGCGGGATCAATTTTTATTATTATTAAATATATTTATAATGATTTTTTCAATTTAATTATTATTTTCATATTTTCAAGGTTAAAAAGATTTTTTTTCTTTTGGTCAAAAGTTTCATTTTGGGTCTTCGTCTGTAATTCTTATGGGAAAATAATTTATTTAACACTAAAATACGAGGGAGAAAAGAAAATTGATGAGAAGAGGAATAGGTATAGGGTCTGGGAACGTTCAGGCTTTAGATGATTTATAGACTGTTACTGACATTTTTCGCCAGCATATCGATGAACTTTGTTCAATTCTTGGTTGCTAATATTTTTTCTAACATATTAGTATTGTTTCAAGAAATTTCGTTTCGCCATAATTTTATTTCAAGTATGATTTTGCTCATATGTCCCTATTTCAAGTATGATATCGTTACTCCTTTCGAAATTGGGATTGCTCGAATGTCCCTCTTTCTTTTCAACTCGAAATTGCTCAAATCCAAACCCTAAACAGTTTTGTGCACATCCATCCACAAACCAAAATCATCAAACTGTTTCACACGTGATCCATGGGCAAAGATAATTACAAATCAAAATAAGAAAAGTGATCTACAATAGGGAGCTGCATGCTTCACCATTGTCAACTTAAGTAAACACATAATTCATTTGTAATACAGGGTTTATTACACAGAAGAGGAAAATAGATTCTCAGAAAATAGAAGAAAAAAAGAAACGAGTTCGCGAAAGCTGATACCCCACGCATCACCAAAAAAGATGGGAAGTCTCATTACAAGTTTTGGACTCCCATCAACAGATGCTTATTATTCCTGCACAAACTGGACAGACCCTACCTACAAGTTACTTACCAAGGATGTGGTTTTGCCTCAAGGACATTCTTTCTCATACACGTCGCTTGCATATTTCCAGTTAATAACCTTCCATATGTTCTTAAGATAGTCTGGCCTCACGTTTTTGTACTGCACAGATGTCAATAGTTGAAGTTGCTAAGGTATATTTCATAATGAAGAATCAAGTAAGACAGCTCAAGGCCTAAATAGCTTAAAGCATGAACTTGATAAAATCCCATAAGGGTATATCAAAAATTCAGTTTCAGACATCACAGCAAAGTATAGATGAATTTCAGGTGTCATTCCACCATATATTTTACCTTTTTTATCAAACTACTAGCACACCTTCAGTATCTCAAGTATTGGAACAGAGCAGAGAGTCTAAACGATCTTATTGAATCAAGCACTTTTGTTCGGTGTCAACCAGTTATGAAACAGCCATATTCCGGTAACAAAAGTACCAAAAAACAGCAAATTTACCTGCAAGTAGTAAGCATGTTCCCATACATCTATACCCAGGAGAGGAACATAACTTGATCCTTTGGCAACAAGCGGATCCTACATAAAGTTTAAGTTAGGCAACATAGTACGGGGCATATCCTGAAAATTGGAATACTAATTTACCATCAAGAAAAGTAAATTCAATGGAACTAAAAGTGTGTGGCATCTGTGTATCAATTAGCTTCACCCCAATAACGCATTAAAAGTACCCTTTAAATTATCAGCAGGAACCAATGAGTATGTAAAAATCAATAGATATAAAACTTAAAAGCAGCACATAGCATCTCCACATCTAAAAAACTAAATGGTGTATATACCAAATGACATCAATTGAATAGCAAAGCACAAGTGAAGTACACTATACCTGATTGAATGTGGTTTCAATAGAAAGCCTCTTCTGATCTTTGTCAAGAGCAAGCCACTATCAACAATTGAAATACACATAAAATCTTAATACTTGGGTTGGGTCTACTAACTTTCTCAAAATCCATTAAAAAACTTTGAATGGAAGAAACAGCAAAGCAAAATAGCAGCAAAAGGACCTACCACCCAACCAGAACCTTGCAAAGCAGCACCTTCTACATTCACTTTCTGAATCAGGGAATCTAAGGAACCAAACTGATTCTCAACTGCCCGTGCTAAGGAACCCTTTGGAGGCTCACCACCTCCTTCCTGCCCATTACAATTTATTATACAATTTCAAAATAGGAAAAAGAAAGCCAAAATATTAAACCCAAATCAAATCAATACAAAATTGGGACTTGGAATATGAACGTACTCGAACAGGGGTCAGATTTTTCCAGAAAACAGAGTGGTTTATATGACCTTCCACATCAAAATACCCATAATTAATCAATTAATTAATTAATAAGTAAATAATAAAAGAGATATCAAATACAAGGTTGAGTGAAATAAGAGCGAACCTCCGCCGTTGAATTTGATGGCGCTCTGTAATTTGACGATGGTGGGGGAGTGGCCTTTGGCCATGGCCTGGTCAAGGTGCTCGAGGGCGTTGTTGAAGTTGGTGACGTAGGTCTGGTGGTGCTTCTGGTGGTGGAGCTGCATGATCTCTCCACTAATGTAGGGCACCAGTGCCCCATAGTCGTAGGGTAGGTCGGGCAGCGTGAAGGTCTTCAATCCACGGACTGTCACAAGCCCTAACCCCAACCCTAAGCCCCCGCCATTTCTGCTTAGACCTGCTAGGCCTCTCCTGCTTACTGTTCTCAGCGCCATTTTCAAAGATGAGAGTCGCTAGCTCTCAGTGGAAAAATTGCACTGGTCCCAGCCTCAGCGGAAAAACTAAGCCCGATAAGTTAACGTGGCACATCTATATTTTTTGATGGAAAATATATTTTCTTTAATCTTTTTGCTTATACGAAAAATAGAATTCTAATCATACCCGTACAAGATACGTTTTTTTCATCTCTTTACATACCATACAATACAAGATCCTTTAATCTTTAGCATAGAATTCGAATCTTTTTGCTTAAAGGATCAAGTTACTGGGGTCCTTTTTTTAAAAAACATACACAGATATTGTGATTTTTTTTTAAATTGTTTTTCCCTTATTTTTATTTATCGATAATTTAGAGCATTATTCATTACTATTAGGCCATTACTCGAGTCTCTATTGTCCCATTTTTAGTTTTTACTTTTCCAAAGTTATCATCCATATAAAGAATTTAGCATTGTCAAGTTTAATACTCATATTGTACACGTATGTACATATTTTTTATGTTTAATACATTTGGTTTTTTACAAAATTTTCAATCATACACAAAAAATTCACGTATTAAACACATAATTTTTGCCTAATATTGAATAAAAAGAATATATATTAAAAAATTAAATCTATAAAGTATGTATATTGAAATTAGCAAATTAGTATCTATAAAGTATAAACTAATGCAAATAGAAGGGTCCTTTTTTTATAATTTTTTTATAATAAATAGTATAGCCGAGCGGCCTTTTGTTTATTATAAAAAAAATAGTATAGCCGAGCGGCCTTTTGTTTATTATAAAAAAAATAGTATAGCCGGGCGGCTATACTGTCTTGACACTTGCCGCCGAATTCGTAGCTGGGCAATGGGCGCTAGGCGGTTCCTCCTTTGTTTTTCTCACAAATAATACTACGGATTTTATTTTAAAACGAGTACAGCCGCTTGGCTTTACCGGGGTTTTTTTAAAATTGTTTTAAAAATAGTATAGCCGAGCGGCTATACCCTTTACATAGATACATCTTTTTTTTATAAAAAAATTGTTTTTCCCCCACTTTTGTTTATCAATAGTTTAGAGCATTATCTCTTACTATTAGGCCATTACCTGAGTCTCTATTGTCATCTTTTGAGTTTTTACTTATTCACAGTTATTACCCGTATAAATTATTTAGCATTTTGACGTTTAACACTTGTATTGTACACGTACGTACATATTTGGCATATTTGCATAACCTTTTTATAGTTAATCCAACTGAATAGATTAACATTTTTCTTTCATGAAACAAAATCTCAACATACAGGTATATGTTCTTAACCATTTAGATATAACATTACTTTTGCAGATTTGAATTCAAACATTTGCATTACTTTTGCATATGTGAATTCAAACCGTGCAATGAGTTTTTTGTAGTTCAAGTGATTAAGCATTCACCCATGCACTGAGATTCTGAGTTTGATTTCCACCTCTCCAATATCGAAGAATAAAATTATACATTTTCATATAATTTAGAACATCAAGGCTAGTTGACTGTCTTCACTAATGAAACTAATTGGTAGAAACTAACCAGAAACAACAATTATGAATACTTTTCAGTGTTTGGGTACAACAGTGTACATCTGGCTTACCAAATTCTGGTATGAATCCAATTGGCAAAGCCTGATTCCGACAAAATTAATAACCAAAACTGCTATATAGCAAAAGTCATTTCTTTGACTCTGAAGGATACTTCTACAATAGAAATTATAAAACCCATACAATGCCACATATAGAAACCCTTTGCCAGCAACATCTTCATCGCTGGAATAGCTCTTCCCTGCTAAATTCGATCTGGCACAAATGAACCACAACAGACTGAACAGGCTTTAAGCATGCAGGTCCTTGTTCGAATTCCATACAGGGACTTTTGAATCCTCCCCTAGCATCCCACTTCCATTTTCGACACCTAATAGAGGATCAGCTTCGCTTTCTTTTGTCTGCAACCAATTTGTGGATAAGTAGTGTTAGCAGAGCATTTCCACATGATATATTCAAAAGTATTCCAGGATTAAAGGGATAAATTGAAGTAAAATACGAAAGACCAATTAAAGGTTGAGTGGGAGTTAGAGAGGGAGAGGGAGAGAGAGAGACCTCCTATCATATTAATTTTGTGCAGCCTAATATCTCAGATAACAATATGGAAATTATAAAAAAGAAACACGTGAACGAGATATGAAAAAACTGGAACCACCTGGGGCAACTGTTGGGATCCTTCATTAGCCTTCCGCTGGCTCTCGAGAGTGCAATAATAAGAATAGAGTACCATCCCAACTACAGCAATCAATATCCCTAAAATGTTGCGCCAGCTAAATGGGTCACGGAGTAGAATGTAGCCAAATGCCAAAACAAGGCATGTTTTCAAATGTCCAAGGACCTGATAGGTTACTGCAGACGTCTTTCCAATAACCAAAAATGTACTGAAGTTTACAGAGACAGATATCAGGCAGGACAGAACAATGAAGAACTGCAACATAGACAACATTATTGTTACTATGAGAAGGATACCAGATAAAGAAATGTTTGGATAAGGGGGGTCAGGGGAGGCAGCCCTGTGGAAATGTCGAATACTCACCAGCACTTGAGGGGTATACGCGAAAGCAAAAACATTTTGATTAGTCAAAAGTCCATCTAGAAATGGACCAACGATGAACAAGGTTATTGCTTGATAGGGACAAGACTGATACAGAAGTTGGGTTGAGGACACTTTGAACTTCTTCTGGATGGTATTGGTCATCTGAACAACTGTTAAGGTCTAAAACAATACATGCTATCTTAATGCCATACGGTAAGCAGCAAATTATGCAGATGTCTTCTTTGTCTATTTTGCTTGTTTTTCTTATTAAATGTGCTTTATTTAAACATGAAACATGTGATAATGCAACCAATGAAATAGAAAATTCAGTCCAGCTTAGGATACAATCTGAGCAACACAGGTTGTGAGAACTGCAAGCAGGGACAAAAAGGAGCCCAGGGCATTGAGCTGAAGATCAGTCACTGTTGCAACTCCAACTCCCAAAATAAGGATGGTGAGTGAAAACTGAACACTTCGACTATTAAAGTGGTAAGGAGTGTCAGACCCAGTACACAGTTGTATTAGATGAAAAAACATTTACAAAGTACATCAAACATGCTTGCAGGATAGAAAAACTGCAGTTCAAACTGACCTACTATAATAATTTTATAGATTACGTAGTGAACTATGACAAAGACTGACCTGAACTTCTTCCTAAAGAAAAGGGTCTCCAAAAGAACAGTACAAGGGATGATTGCCAGTTTTGTCATCTGAAGTAGATAATTAAGATAAAATTTATTCAGAAATGTTCATATAAAAAATTTAAACTGCTGAGACAGTAGTTTGATGGATTTAAGAATGAATATGTGATATCATTAGGTAAAGAAGTAAACAGTCAAAGCGCGAATGGGATCACGTTTATAAAATATGAAATTACAGATGCATGATAGCTAAAAACATTAATAGTTAAGCAAGTCATTGTGCATGATTGGGAAAGGTGGGGGAAAACCATAAGTTGAGGGAGGCTGGTAAAAAAAGAAGAAATTTACCTGGTAAAAACCAACGGAATTGAAACCCAAGCTCAGATTCAGAAGTCCAATAGAGATTCCATTTAGAATTCCAAATCCCATTACAGAACTAGCATCAAAAGGCTTGTGTTCGAAGAATTTCATCCATAACGCAATGTGAAGAGAACAAAATGTGACCAGAAGATGCCAGCTTGTCAAAGTTGTGGCTGTGTATCCCATAATGTGAATCAGTAAGTACATTAATATTTGAAAAAGTGAGTCATATATGATGATGATGATCAAGATATTAACGTAAAGAAACGTTACGATAAACAAGTAACTTTAAAAACTCGAACCTTTCTGGATAAAGTTAATACAAGCAGATTGAGATTTCACCATTTTTTGAATTGCAATTTGTTGCTAACATATGGTGGTTTTCACTGCTATTTAATTTTTTTAACCTCAATGTATTTCCACTGACGACATTACCACAATGTGTGCAATATGGGGGGCACTTAAATGATGCAAAGAAAAGAAAAATCAAGCAAAAAGGGAAAGGGATAAATAATTTCCAGCACACATACTATAGACATTTGGTGTCACATAATCCAAATAACAAGAATGAGATTTAATGATTTTAAAAGGTTTTAGAATTTTAGCTAGCAAGAAACGACAACAAGAAGCAAGACCATTCAATTTGGTAGACAATGTATCCATATGAACCTTGTAATGCCCATCAATTGGACCTGTTTTCCATTGACATGGCTGTACTTGTCTATAGGTCCTTGGTCAAATAACGTCAACCCATTTCTGCATTCATCACCAACCATCCCTTCGGTCTCGCATCAAGGAAACCACATTCATACTTTTAAAGTTCACCAGCCAAACTTACTAGAATAGTTTCTTTTCTAAAACTGCATGAATTTTAAAAATAACATACTATTATTATTTAAGGTTATCTTGAAACCTACAATGTGCATAGAAAGAATTCCAACTACTCAAACAAAGCAGAGCACCAACATATACTGCAACACCTGAAAGAATATTAAACCAACAACTTATGCCAAATTTCAATCAAACAGATGCCTTACTCACCAAAAGTGAAACCAAGTGTGCTAATAAGCGCCTTGTTGCAAATCACAATCGACACGGATGACACGACTGACAAACTCAAAGCCCCAATGGTCCCCAGGTGGAACTTCTGGCTGTCGCCCATTTTCACACTCTTGCAGTCTTGCGCTATTCACAGCCCAGGCTTTATATGGATCTAGCAAACCCAGACAGCAGAATTCAAACAATGTCCAGCCATTTCCAGCAACAACAGAAACAAAACATATCATATATGACCATATACAGAGGTGCACATACCAAATTAAGCATTGAATTCTTACCTCATTGTGACATACTAATCCAAAATTTGAGGTAATTCAGGCGCAAAGCAGCTCAACTGCAACAATGGCAGGCAAACACATAAAAAAAATCACAGCTAAATGACCAAAACACCACCGAGATTCGCCCCAATCTACGATTAC